TCACCAGAGACAGAGTGGGGAGCAGAACAGGCAGATCCACTGAAACACACTGCTGAGGGGAGCAGCGAGGAGACAGGAGAGGTCTGCTGGGGAGACAGGAGAGGTCCCTAGCAGGAGCTTGAACTCATGCTGCGGTGGCTGCAGACAGCTTCGTGATGCTGTGCCTTACCTCCTGGAGCCACCAGAGAGACCCCCACTAAGTTCACTTCTAATGGAAGGAAACCAGTGATTTATCATTGCTTCCTCTGCATTTCAAAGTTCAAATTCCATGTGGCCAGTAGGTAGTAATGTGAGATTCTCATGCCTTCGGGGAAATTTGTCTGTAGTATGTTTATCCCCAGTCTTTATCCTTATTTTCTGAGAAAGTTCATTTAGTCAAAGACCTGGGGACCTTGTTAAAATTCAGACTCTGACTTAGTAGGTCTTGAAAGGAGCCTGAGAGTTAGCATTTCTAACAAATTTCTAGATCCTACTGTGCCATGCGCTACACTTGGAGGACCAAAGCTGTTGTAAAGAAAAGACGGGGCTTGTGTGATTTTCAATACAAGCAGCCCCGTGGTTTCTTGGCGCTGGGATCCAGGCTGCTGGGGCTGGGGCCTCGGTCTTGGGTTCTCGGTTCCAGCCAAGTGCTGGCTGGAGCTGCCCCACTCACATGCCTGCCTGGGAGAAGACCCCCGTTTCCAGGATTGCTCACAGGCACCTGCTGACTAGGGTTGGAAAGGGCAGTTCCTTGCGAAGGGCCAAGGCTGACAACAACAGGGAGATTATTTCTCCTGGAGCAAGAGTGCTGAGAGAGGGTAAGGAGCCCAGGATAAAAGCCACCAGTTGTTTACAACCTCAAAACTCCTGCTGTGTTCTCTTCAACAGACTCAACAGAAAAGCAACCAACGATGGGGCCACATAACTCATGGAACACCACTTACTGAGAGATATAAAAGATGGGCAGGCTCATGGACATCAAGAAAATGCAAAGAATGACACATGAGATCCGAGGTCACAGCCTGATGGCTGACAAAAGTTGAAAACCTCGATTCAGAACAATTTCAGGCTCAGGTTTCACTTGTGCAAGTACTGAAATGGGGCATACAGCGGTGCCCCCCTCATTTCGCTTTCCCTGGTTTCAGTTATTTTTGAAAATATTACATCCAAAAATAGTGCGCGATCATATACCCTAAGAGACCACACTGACACAGCTTTCATTGAAGTATATGGTTATATTCTTCTGCTGCATTTTTTTGCTGCTGTTGTTAATCCCTTACTGGGCCTAATCTTTAAACTACCATCATGGTGGCTTAATCTCTCCCACATGTAACAGAAAAAAGCAACTAGCTAAAAGCTCTACGGAATGAGAGAAAGCCATTCTTTGACTTCATAGAAGTCAAAGCTTACAGGAAAAAGACTATGACCTGGTGGGTCTCCTGGCTACACACCTAAGCTTTGTGCTCATGGCAATATGCAAACAATCCAAATTAACAGGAGAAAACACACAATCTTTCTCATTCAAAATCCAGAGGACAGAGCCTATAGCAACCAAAGCCAATAAAAAGCAAAAGAAAAATCCAGAGAAACAAATACTTTTAGCTCTAGGGTCTAAGAATAAACCCCAAGTCTTTGTCTAATCTTTGAACCACAGATGATCCGCACAGACTCTAATCAGCTCATATTTCAATCTAAAATAAGAGACTGAAATTTGAGCTTCAATTCATCAAAAACAAGATAAAACTTTTTAATTGAGAAAATTATCGCGTGATAAAAACATCATTTTTGGAGCCATTTAACAGAATACAGAGTTTCCACAGCAGAGTAATTACAATATTAAGGGGGGAACAAGATATTAGTTGAAATACGAAGAACCCATTTTTAAGGAAAAAGAAAACCAACAGAGAGACCAACCTGGACATGATCCAAAAGTTGAAATCAATGTAAGAACTCTTCAAAGCAGCTATTATAACAAGGACCACCATATCCTCTGATGTGTAACAATGTACAATTCTAACAAAGAGAAGAACAGTGATTCCAAATGATAAATGGAAACTATAAAAATGTACCAGATTCCACAACTAAAAAATATAGCCCAAAATTCAAAGAAAAAAATGCAATAGATGAGTTGAAAATCAGAAAGAGATGACATGGGGGAAATATTTCAACAAGAAAAGATAATTTCAAAAGGAAAAGATCAAAAGCTCATTAAAATGAAAAAGGAGAGAAACATAAACAACTTCAGGGACCTATGAGGCAGAGATTTTTAAAATCTGGCATGCATATGTAGTTCGAATCACAGAAAAGGAGAACAAAAAGTGGAAATAAAAATATATTTGAATAAATAGTGTCTGAAACATCCCAAATTTGATGAAAAACACAAATGCATCTATTCGAAAAAGGTCCCTGAACATCAAACCAGGTACATGGAAAACCACATCTATTGGCTCATTATATTCAATTTATAGAAAAACAAAAATAAACAAAGTCTTGAAAGACTTGAAAGACGTGCACCAGTATCTTACACGTAGCAAGTCTGTTCTGGGAATTACAACGACTTTTCATCAAACACTATGGAAGCCAGCAAAAAGTGGAACAATACATTTAAGGCAATGAAAAATGAATTTAAGACCCCAGATTTCTATACCCATCAAAGATTAACTTAATGAAACACAAACAAATACATTTTCAAGTAAAATAAAACTATTGTGAACAAAACATCACCAAAAAAAGTACAATGGACGTTCTTTAGTCTAAATGGAAGTGATACCAGAGGGAAACTTGGATCGTCAGGAAGAAATAAAAATGAAAAATATAAGAAATAATAAATATCTACAAAAACATAAAACTATATTTTGTTCCCAACTTCCTTTTAATACATATGACTGTTTAAAACAAAATTATAATATTTACATAAGAAACAAGAAATCATATACTCACACAACAACTTCTACATGGGTGTTCATAACAGCTTTATTCAAGACAGACAGAAAAGGAAACTACCCAAAGATGAACAGAAAAACAAAATATGGTGTATTGATATGATGAATTACAAAGCATAAAGAGGAACATACTATGATACACGCAACAATATGGGTGAACTTCAAAATCCCAGCTCTCAATGAGAGAAGCCAGACACAAAAATGCATTATGCATGATTGCATTTATATAAATTTCCAGAAAATTCTAGTTAATCCAGAGTAACAAAAGCAGATCATTTGCTGCCTGGGACATTTTGTTATCCCCCATGAATAACAAGCTATCCCATGGAGGGATAGCTTGCAAAGGCTCAAGGGGATTTGATGGAAAAGATTCATATCTTCATTATGGCAGTAATTTCACGGATGTAAACACCAAAATACCTTTTATTTAACATTTTAAATAGATGGATTTCATTGAGTGTAGTTTATGGCTGAGAAAATCTTATTCAAAAAACATAAGTCGGTGGCGTTTACGCTAGACTTTTCCAGAAATAAGGTGCTCTTTTAGCCTGACTCAGACTGAGGACACCAAAATTACATGGAGACGGCAAATAAGAAAGGTTTGTTGCTTTCAAAGCCAGAGATGATGGAGTTATTTGTTAGCACAGCTGAATCTAATTGCTCCTGAGCACCTCTACTTTATGTAGGCCTGGGGGATTCAGTCCTCGAATAATCCTGATGGGTTTCACGTGAGTCCCATCCCACACTCCGTTTGGGGGCTTCTGTGGAAAATGGTATTCGAGCAACTGGAAAGGAAGTTTTCTAAAGGCCTTTTATACAGAGGAGGCCTTGATCTTAAGGGGCACAGGTTTTCCTCCTGTGCGCAGACACAAGCCCAGATTAACTGATTCCAGCTCACCCCCTCTCAAAGATCAAACAACCTCAAGAGGAAAGTCTGGGATGTCTGCGATTAAAACAATCAGGACGACCGACTCGGGACTATCAATGCCCTTGCTTTGAAAGCCGGCTGACCAGATGGTTTTCAGCGGGCTCGTCGCCCGTCACCTGCAACTAGAGGCGTCCAGGCAGCAGGCGCCCCTGACAGGCCCCGGCCGCCGCGGCTTGTCTCTGACAGGACTGTCCCCGCTCCGGCAAAACGTCCTGATTCTGGTGGATTCTGTTCCCCCTCAAAATGTCTAAGTCTCATTGAAACAGTATTTGCCCCCTCAAAAATGACGGGTGGGCATAAGCATTTACTTTATTCTTGCCTCCACCCACCCCACCCCCCCTACCCCCTCCGCAGACCGCGCGGCCGGCTCCGCCCGCCTTTTCCGTCTGTTCCTGGAAACTTCAGGCCTCGCGGCCCAGCCGTCCCCGCCCGCGTCTGGGGGGCGGGCCGCGGGGGGCGCTGCGCTGGGGCCGGGGGACCCCGCCTCGCCCTGGGGCGGGGGGAGCCCGGCGGGCGCCCCCGGGGTCCCTCCAGCCCACCCGCCGAGGAGAACGAGGTGAAGCGCAAACCCCAACGGCTGTTCCGGGCCGGCCGCGCCGCGCGCAGGCCCTGCCGGACCCGTCAGGACGCGCCGAGGCCGCGGCCTCTCCTCGGCGGGTGCCCCAGCCCGGCCGCCCTCTCGCGGGGCCGTCGCCAGGGCGTCCGCGTGCCGGTGTGTGCTGGGGGGGTGTGGGGTGCGGTGTGCGGGGGGGGGTAGTGTGTGTGGTGTGAGTGTGTGTGCATGTGGTGTGTGTGGTGTCATGAGTGTGCTGTGTGTGTGGTATGTCTGAGGTGTGTGAGGTGTGCAGTGGGGGGGGGGTGTGTAGTGAGTGTGTGGTGTGTGTGCAGCGTGTGCTCTGTGTGTGTGGTGTGTGTGTGATGTGCAGCATCTCAGGCAACCTGTCCCCAACAGGGAGACGCTCTTGTCCCGGCAGAGCCTTGTCCGCTGTGAGGCGCCTGCCCCCCTGACACCCCTGCCCTGACACCCCTGCCCCCGCTGAATTGCCTTTCTCCGTGCAGGGAGGTCAGCCCCAGGCCCTGCGCGTGAACACAAGGCCGCGGCTCCCCCGGCTTGGGGCGGCGTCCCCCGCTGGGGTTACCCGCCTGCCTGGAAACCCGCCTCCCCGCGAGTGTCCATCTGCAGCGTCCGTGTCGCACAGCCAGAGGCCTCTCCGGGGAGGAGGCCAGGACCCGCGCGGCGGGGAGCTGAGCCGTGTCCAAGGCGCGGCCTCACGAGCTGCGGGGACGTCCCAGCAGCAAGTCTGGGAACGGGGAAAAGCAAGGACGGACCCTCCTTCCCGGGGAAGCTCAGTCCATCCGACCCGGCACTCCGCGCTAACTTCTTCCCAGCGCTGGACTCTCACCTCATTTCAGTGAAAATAAACAGCAGCCCATGAACTTCTTTTGGGCACGACATTGGACGTGTGAAGAGGTTTGCAGGCTTCAGCTTGTAACCTATTTCCCTTGCTATAGGAACATTAATTTCCTCTTATTTTAATGCAGACGCTTAGGGCTAAGGTGTCAAAATGGCCTTTCATTTCCTAATTTTTTTCCTTGTTCTTCACCAGGTGAAAACCATAATCACAGCCTGAAAATGGCCATTTCCTCCTGACGATACCCCACGCCCTGCATGGAGCCAGCTCAGCTGTGGCCTTCCCGCTTCCCCAGGACGCTCAGGTAAACGTGTCCTGGGTGACTGGCCGTGACTGGCGAGCTCCGGAAATAAACATTACGCTATCCCCAGCCAGTGATCCGGGAGGGAATACTGCGTCTTCGACATGGCAAAAGAATGAGTAACGTAAGAAGAGAGGCCGTCCAGGGTGAGTGGGAGGGCGGGTTAGAAAACACCATCTTCTCTCTAATCACATTTGTCTCCCATTTGCCTCTTTAACGTCAGGGCCCCCAGGATGGTCAGAACAGGCCGCCCTGAGAGAGTGACCTTGGCACGTGGCTTATTCAAGCTGAGGTGAAACCAGACCCTGAAGACCCATCAGAAACTGCATCACGCCCTTAACTTCCCAGAGGAATGGAAACGGAGGCGCTCGCCCAGCATCCGGGTTATTACCGCAACCTCTCTGTGTGGGAAGCCTGTCCATGGTGGCAAACACCCCCACGGTCCCCGCAGGGCCATCACCCAGGACCCTGCTGGTGCTGTGACCCCTCCCCTCCCCCCAAGCCCAGGGCCCTGCCCCGTTGGCTAACTCAGGACACAGCGAACTTGGAATCGTCATTTCTATGTAGATTCCCATATCCGTGTAACTAAATTTGTGGTTTTTTCCCCTCCTACTAAATGTCTGATGTTAATTTGATTATTTGACCAGCCCAAGAAGCAGCCAGAGGGCTGGGCTGGGGTGGGGGCCGTCCCTCCCCCGGACTCCTCTCTGCCCCATCCTGGCCTTAGTCCCGCACTCATCCGTGATTATTGGATGTGAGTCCAGCTTGAGACTTCTGCGCACCTCATCATGGGAACAATAAAGAGTCTCACAATTTAAGACACCATTTCTGGGGTTTTCTGTTACTTGAAACTGAATGCAGCTTAAAGGATAAAGAAGATTCTAGCAATTTTGAAATAGCAAATGAATAAACAACATCCAGTAGAACCACTTCCTATTATGAAGTCACCTACCGGGACAGGTGTCCTGGTACCCTGAGCAGGCGGCGCGTCGCACTAGTGCAATCAGGGACTAAAGAGAGAACCCCAAACACGCAGGCACTGTCCTCGGTGGTGACGCTAGCCCGGGACTTCCGTCTTCGGCATCTACCACGTCTTTTCACTTTCTTCCAAAACCACAACCCCGAAGAGAAACACTTGGCACCCAGAAGCAAAATCCGCAAGCCTGGCGCTGTGATTATACCCAGGACTAGGGTCTTTAGGAAGTAACTAAGGATCATTGAGGCCCGAAGGTGCGGTCCTCATCCAACAGGACCCAAGGCAGATCGGGAGGAAAGAGGTTTCTCCCTCTCTCCCCCTCGCTCTCCTACCATCCTCCTCCCTCCAGCCATCACGTGAGGACACAGGGAAGGCGGCCTTCGGTAAGCCAGGGCCCATCCCCCATTCCCCCTCCAGGACGGCGCAAGAACAAGCCACGGGCACAGCGGCCCATCCCGTGCAGCTCTGACAGCGGGAGCCCAAGGGAGGAAACCCACAGCAAGACCCCGAGGGCCAGGCCTGGTTCCGCAGACGCTGCAGCGCTTGGGTTTGTTCCAACAGCAGCGTGTCGCCCGTGGAGTGTTTCCAACAGCAGCGTGTCGCCCGTGGAGTGTTTCCAACAGCGGCGTGTCGCCCGTGGAGTGTTTCCAGCAGGGAGACAGCAGTCCTGTTTGATTTCTCAGACATTATTTAGTAGAAGAAACTCCCGTTTGCAGAGTTTTTAACTATTTTCTGTGCTGTCACTGCTTCATGCCTCATTCATCAGACACAGCGCCCTGGGCTTCGCTGCTGAATCCCAATTGAGTTCTCAGAAGAATCTGGTGGACCCCACATGCTCGGGAAGGTCACAGAGATGCTCTGAAACCTGCCACAGCGTTTTCAATGATGTGATAACAGACAGATCTGCTTGCGGCTCACGCCGGCTTTCCTCCACGCTGGGGCCACATCTCCCCCGACACTGCTTCGGAACAACGCCAGGGACTTCATCAGACTCCAGCTCGCGGCTGCGACGACCTCCCGGGACGCCCTTTGCTCTGCCTTCCCAAGGCGGGTTTTTAACTCAGAAGTCCCCGCTGCTCTCGGCTGTGCACACGCGTGCGAAGGGAGAGAGCAGCGTAAAAATATCGCATAAGTAGAAGGAGCTTTGCAAACGCTGTGTTTGGCAGCCACGAAAGTGACTTGCTAGGTCAGACCTGTTCTCAGGCCCGGGAAGTCCATCAGCACGATAGGAGAGTCCCTCTCAGGCTTCATTCCCGGGAAGAGCCTGCTCTGCCATTAAAAGACAAGGCCGACGTGGCACAAAGGGGGCCCAGCTGGCTGGTCTCGGGCTAAGGCCTCATTGCGCTGCGTGGCCTGTGGCTGTTCCGCACCTCCCTCCATCTGCAGGGGGGCTCCTCCTGGGTAGGCGAGAACGTGCACCCCACACCAAACCACAGCGGCCCTTCTCCTGCACAAGCTGCTTCATCTCACAGCTCCTCTTGAACCGGCCGCGATGAGCTGTGCGCCATGTCCAGGCTGCACCTAGGGTCGCAGCGGCATTTCTGCGGTGAGAGCCCCGAAGTTTGTGGCCTTGCCTGTCGCAGCAGATTCGCCAGGGCAAGTGGTTCCACAGCAGCCTCTTCCAAGAGAGCCGAGGGCCACAGAGCCACGTCTGCTGACCTTCGGTAGTGGCCAGAAAGCCACACAAGCGTGTGTGCTCGGCGGTCAAGGGAAACCCCTCTTTGCTGAAAGGTGCGTGGCTCATCTACCCCTTCATGGCAAACTGGCTCCCGTTTTCCTAATTCCCACATCCCAGCCACGCAGGCAGCTTCACCAGCTCTCCTGTCCAATAAAACTTTGGTCTGACAGTATTTTTCAAGAAACACCTGGAGTCTTAGTCGGCGGTCAGTGTCTTCTAAAGAGACCGAGCGTGCTGGCCGAGCGGGCACGCAGGGAGGCACAGTTGTCCGCACAAACAGAACAGCGTCTGTGCCACGTTGTAACCAGCGCCCCCAGAAGGATCAGCCAGGCCTGCGTGCACTGGCGCGCCTGGCTCAAGGGCTGGGAGGAGCCTCAGGAAGCGCTTTTCTCCTGAGAGCCAGTGGCTGGCTCCGTCAGCAGCTGGGAAGGGGGGGGTGGCACTTAGCTCACATGTTTAACAAAGGCATCAATGTACATAGGGAGGAACGTTTAATGCGACCCCCATGACAAGAACCAGCGCGCTGCTCCGCACCTGCACTCTCGCGGAAACGTCGAGACAGCTGCGTGCCTGACCGCTGGCCGGAATAACCCAGGGCAGGGACTGGACACTCTAGCTCTCTGGGCAGAAGGATGAACTAGCTACATTGCTTTACACCATCTACCTGGTGTACTTAGATCATGCGAAATGTGCAAGACCCTCCATCCGGGGTTCATGTCTCTTGATAATGAAGTCCACCCTAAAGCAGGTCCTGGAAATCTTGCAACCAGTAACCCTTCCATCCGGCAGAGCGCTGCGCAAAAGAAACTGACTACTTGAGCATTCGGATTCAGAGAAACCTCTGAAAAAGGAATTGCCTCTCGTTAGGATCAACGTGGGCACTGGAAGTCTCAGTTCTAATTCAAGGAAAATGCATAAATGATTACAATGTTCTCTGTAAATATGCCTTGAAAACTAAATATAAATTAGATCTTTGATTTAATTTAATGTTCAAGAGAGAAAACAGACATAGTTATCCACCCGGGTCAATATGGGACCTTTATATTGATTTAAATTCAACAGTTAACTAGTTCCGTTTCCGGTCATGGAGAATGTGTTTCCCCAGTCTCCCTGACCGGGGCTTCCTCTAAACTAACGGCAGCATCTAAAAATCTGATCTGATTAATGACCTATTTCCCAAGATCAAAACCCAGAAGGTCTTGGTTCAATTTAACACTATGGGATAATGTGTCATAGTTCAGCTGTTAAGTTGGTAGGAACATTAACTCGATGCTCAAGATAATGCCAAATTAACTTTCACAAATTTAAATACTGTGCTCTTAGAAATAATCACCTCAATATCTTGTTAGCACTTGACTGCTGCCACACACTTTGCAGGTGGCTAAAAGGCCCAAGCCACCCCGCCTTTGCTTCTTTGAAGACAAGAGTCTAAACTGACGCTGCTTAGCTCCCCGATCCACGGCAAGTGACTGCCATCGCTTCCTAGAAAAAAGCAACAATGAAAAATAGGACGTGTCCTGCCATCGCGTGCTCCTGCGTGCCCAGCGAGTGGACGGTCGTGGAAAGCTGTAAATTATTGTTATCATATCTAATGATACTGCAAGGCGTAATTACCGCCCTCGTCATTCTCCCTTTGTCTCTGTTCCCTTTCCATTTAAAGTCTAACCGTATTGTCCTTTACCCTCTGACCTCAATCTTTTATTTTTGGCTGCAAAAACCAAAGACCCATTTTACAATCTAGAGTTGTTCAAAATATTTAAACCCATTCCAAGGTTTTTAAAATGCCTAATAGTTTGGGAGAAACCCTTTATCCAAAAAATTTAAATGCTACACAAAAGACATGAGCATATTATTGAGTCCTCTTAGCATGTCCCTCCTCAGGCAAAGAAGGACAGTATTGAATCTTATGCCTCTTACTGTGATGGGTCTTTTAATTGCGTGTGGCTGACAATAGTCTTTTCTCTGTGTGCCGCTACATGTGTGTACTTATTGTCACAACTTCCTCGTCTCTCTTCTAAGAAACCTACCACATGACTAGACGAATCAATCCACTGTGACCCCCAAAGACCAAGAAATGTGACAAAAACAGCGACAATATTCCCTAACGTTAAGCATTAGAACATTCCACTGTGTTCGATTTCGTGCACAAATGCACACACCCTCTAAAGTAAAAATTCTGGGGCCTCCCCTGGTGGCGCAGCGGTTGAGCGCTGGGCTGCGAAGCTGCAGCACCAGTTCAATCCCCGGCCACTGGTGAGGGTCCCACATGGTGCACAGACCTCTCCTGCGCGCCCTCTACTCCCCTCAGCAGAGCATTTCGTCAGTCTGCCTGTTCTGCTCCCCGCTCTGGCTCTGGTGAATTCTCTCACCCTCCCGCGCTTCTGACTGTACCCAGTGATTGTATAAATAAATCAATAAATCTTAGGAAAAATAAATAAATAAATAAAGTAAAAATTCTGGACAGTCACCAGCATTAACTAGTCCTTTCGCTATAACGCTTTCTAAATGAACATGCACATAAGACCAGCAATAAATCTCTGGTATTTATAGATCAAGGACAAAAATGTGAAAGTCAAATACAAATAAAATGGTATACCTAATAAAATTTAAACTAATAGTACTCATTAATATTTTGGACAATAATGTTTTGCTGAAACTAAACTATGAACATTTTTATATGCTAATTCAATATTATGATGAAGCCATCAGAGAATGGATCTCAAATGGCCATTGTGAGAAATAATGTAGAATATCATCTGCCCTTAGAGCTGGGGACCATGACACCGGCCGCCACAGAGGCTGGATTCACGCCACGCAGATGGGGCACGGGGTGACCTTCCTCAAAGGTCAGCAGAACTAAGGCTTCTCCAGTCACTCTGTCACTGCTCTTCACTGTTGAACTAACATGAAACCTCCTTCTGTGGAAGTCTCCGTGGACATCTTTGGATTTCCTCTAGTTTAAATACATCATTCTTAAATCAAAGTTGTCCTTTTTTTCCCCAATAGCCTGTCTCAATTACTATTATACTAAACACAATATTTACAGTAGTAAATCAAAGTCTGAATTGACTAATTAAAAAAAAAAATCAAGGCACCCTTTCTGAAAATGACTGCCAATTGCACATTTCTGCAAAAACTTAAGACTTTCAAAGAACTGGTAAAAAGAGCCGCGAGTGCAATAGCATGTACCAGAGAACATAGGCTCTTTGACTTAGGAGAGACCCACATCCTCTGTCAACAGCCCCGACTG